GAGATTTCATGATATTTAGTGAGATGTAAATTATTTATGAGATTTTGAACAGTTGTTACACGATGCTTGGGTGTGTGCTTGGGGCTGTTGACGTGTATAACCATGATGATGGCACACAGAAGTCAAAATCAACCCCATGTCACATCATTTTGTGGCCATACGGTGGATGGAGGAAATCCTGCAGCACCTGGGATGGTTGAAACCCTAGAAACAATGGGATACACTGATAAACCGCCTATCAACTGGTGATTCGGATTTCTTCCATCCACAGTATGATTACACTTGCTGCCAGAATCTATCCTTCAGCTCTCACAGGACCTGTGGGGACATGGTTCCGCTGGACGAGAGGGATTCGGGGAAACCGGGAAACCTATGCACTCTTGGGATACAAAAATGAGATAAATGGGATTCAATCGAAGAAGTCTGTGGATGGAAAACTTAAAGCACAAAAAATTCTCTTCGAATGCTTTGGAACACAGGTTCGATTCTGTTGTTTTTGAAGGTTTGCAGTGATTTGAACATCTTTGAACGTTTTGTTTCTGGCTCATTTCCTCATTGGGAACTCCTCCCGGCCCACCGACCCACCAGGCCCAACCCTTGAGGCCCTGGCTTGCACTAGGCCTCAGCAGCATGAAGCAACTTCAAGCTGGGACAGTACAACATCCCACTACCAAAAAAAGAACGCTTTTAAAGAATAAAACAACATATTATGTCAATCATGTAATTTGAATACACGTAGACTACATATATAATAGGAAGTTGATTCCATCTCTATAAATATGTCTTGTAGAAGAATCGCTGTATGTCATCGTCATCAGCTGTTCAAACCGACAGTTCACTTCTCTTGTTCCGCCGTGCTCTGGTAGCAGGTGACCTTCAAAATCTGGGCACCCTGCAATCCAGGGGTGCATCTTCATCGTCCCATCGTCCCAAACAAATGGAATAAATGTGGTAATACATGGACATATGCTGCTATTAATGGTTGGTGGTTAATATACTGTTAATTTGATGGTTTATGATGATGCTTATTATATGGTTAATGATTGTTAATGTATTTCTGGTTGGTGGTTGACCTACCCTTCTGAAAAATATGATTTCGTCAGTTGGGATGCTGACATTCCCATCTGAATGGAAAAATAAAAAAGTTTCAAAACACAAACCAGTATATAAATGATAAACACACTACCAACATGGGAGGATATCACATGTTTTTTTTGGAAACCCAAATCATATTGTTGGGTCACCTGTTGGGCCTGTTGGGTCTATCTAGAATTATATTCCCATTGCATTCCTATGACATCTCAGTTTTTTCCCATGCATTTCTGGGTCTGATACCTATAGCTTACCCTCTAGAAATCAAACGTGGATGGCCCGTCAAATCCGCCACTTGCTTCGATGATTTCCCAGCTATAAAGCTCCAGTTATAAGTTTGTGTTTCCACAATTTCCATTGATTGTCTTATTAAAACCGACATGATATCCCAAGCTTTGACTCCTTCGAAAGACGACGAAATACCATGGATATCACCCATCCCCTCAGTCTCCGAACGAGGAGGTGTCGTTGGCTTCTTCTTCTTCCTCCTCTTCCTCTTCCTGCTCCTGCGACCAGTAAGGAGGGGTCATGGCGTTTCAGATCACTTGGATGTGCTGATTCGAAGCACAGGACAGTGAGGCGTAATCTATGGTCAGAAGGGAGAGGAATTGGAATCAAAGTGACCCCCAAAAAAGATAAACAAAAGGTAGAAAAGGTTCATTCTGCCACTGTTTTAGAGAATCTCAATATTTACTGTCTATGTTCTATGTAATTTGAGGTTGCAATACATCCGAATTGGTACTTCTAAGAATTGGATGACACAATACCATCGGTTTCTCAATCGCAACAGTACTAATGTTCGAATGATTTGGGGTTTCCTTCTTTCAGAAACCTCCTCATAATAGATGAAGGGAAAACTCATCTTGTTTTTCAATGCTTTTCAAACAAAGATCTTTAACGATGTCGAGCTAGTGTTCCCTCGACATCAAAACATAAAACTGCAGCGTTTGATTCAAGTTGGGATTTATTTTTTGGGTTTGCCCTAATATCGACCTGGCGGCCAACCACCGACACATATTTCGCACCATGGAAAGAACGGATTGCAACTTTGATTGGTCATCAGAGTCATCTGTGATTGGATGCTTCGAGTTCAGAGCCCAAAAGTGAGAAACAATGGAAAACAATGGAGAACATATCTGCAGATGCCACAAGACCTGCCAGAACGTCATCCAAACTTGAAACCAAGTCTTCCAGACTTTCAACGCACTCAATCTTTCCTGTGTTTTCTTCATAACTTGGATGTACATCTCAGTTGGCGGTTCAACTCCCATAAGTGGCATACATCCGTGTCATAACTGTATGATAAGCATGTACTACTTTTACAATTACAACAAACCAGTTACAGTCTTAAGTGGGATGCAAAAAGTATTTGGACTCAGTCAAACATATTTGATAAGTGATCCATAAAGTACCAGAAACAGTCACATATCCACTGAGAACTCAAAAATCCACTGTATCCCAGTCATATTCAGTGGTAAATCTCCCAGTTTCTAACCAAATCAGTTAGATACCAAATCAGTTAAACCAAAGGTTTGAAACACAAATACCAAGGTACTGCTAGAATGCCACATATGCCACATATGCCACATGTCTGCCCAAAAAAATCACGTTGTTTGACGCATCAGCGCCCCCATCGTGCAACATCCCGTCCCGTCGTCCCGTCCTTCTCCTCCTCCTGCTCGGCAAAGAGCTCCTTGGCACCGAATTGCAGGATGATTAGTACATTTACTAACATCAGTAAATGCAAACATTCAGGATGAAAATGGACTAATAATCCCATTAGTAAATAAAAAATGGGGTATCTGACATCAGTAAATGTACTAATAATCCCATTATATCCCATTAGTAATTGCAGACATTCAGGATGATTGTTAGCACAATTTACAGACCCTGCAAACATCTAGTCCTCCGGGATGTGTGTAATTATGTTGGAAAAAGGGGCATCGAAAACATCCGGATGATCCATTTACATATACTTTATATGTGATTGATTCATGGGGCATATACAGTCCTCCGCTTACATCAAAGCATCTCAATGTGGAGCCCATAGGAGGGGAAACAAATGCAGCGTTTTTGAATTCCATGGCATTGATGTGATGATTGCCGTGAACTTTGCCGCTAAGGCGTTTGATAAACCTTGCTCTTGTGATCAAGATATTACCGATTTGTTTTGGTCACAAACTATTTCAAAAAATGTCCCAACACCATTGATCAAACATGCATAGTTTCTCTACAGTTGTCAAGTGGAAACATGACACTAAAATCATCGTCCATTCAACGGTGATTCTCATCCACCAGGGTGAACAATGTTTTCCATGCCCCACTTGCGTCCTGCTCGTGCTCCTGTTCCATCTCCGCAAACAGCGATTGCTCCTAGCGAAAGCAACGCAAACGACTGAACGTCGAATCTGCTATTGGCGCAGTTGGTGTTACAGGACGGCATATCATGATTCTATGAGGCTATGGGGTTTCTTGCACTGGGGGTAGCCCTAAATCATTATAAATCGTGAATTTTGGGGTATCCCCATTTATTTTGAGAAACCTTTCAACACATATTCCCTATAGATTCCCCGCGTAGCTCATTTACCATTGAATCCCACGGGACAAAATGTTTATCATCCACTACAAACAAAAACAATCATGATGTTTGTGGTTTTGGTACCTCAACTTAAGGTATCTCATTAAATCAAAATGGCCATATTGGGTTTATGATCATTTGCTTCCTCACATGATCATATAGGGGTTTCCAAAAATGAGGTTTATTTTAGGAAACCTCCCTATGATCATATGTTTATTTGATCAATTTCCTCTTTAAATCCAACTTTCCCATTTTTCAAAGGATCCAATGGCACAAAGCCGGAGACAATGCCCGCGCCTCCTCTCCGCGCTGCGCCCAGGCATCGTCTGTGCTGCCCGAGACGATGACGTTCACCGCCTGTCATGACATGGAGGAAACGAAGGGTGTATTTCACCAACACTAGGGAGAACAAAAAGAGAAGAGTAACATATTGTAACCTGTTGGTGGTTAATATACTGATAATAATGGCTAATGATGATGGTTGTTACATGGTTAATGATGGTTAATAACCTGGTTAGTGTAACACTTGGGATTAGAATGGGATTCTCATGGGATTCCATGTCTTGGGATAAGGTGTAATATCTGGAACATTTAATGAAATTACAATAGATTGCTGGCTGGTGGTGCAATAACCATCTTGAAAAATATGAGTTCGTCAATGGGAAGGATTATCCCATATATTATGGAAAAAATGTTTGAAACCACCAGCCAGTAAGTGTAACATATTGTAAGTGTTAGACTGATTGTCATCTGAAATATACTGATTTTTAGTTATACTGGGAATTGATTGTTAGGTTATAACTTATAACATTCAATTAGGGAGAATTATGGAACACATTCAAGTAGGGAGAACAAAAAGAAAATTGTATGTTTTACTGATTGTTCTCTGACAAGCAACTGTAGTATGACATGAACGAAATGGAAAAATGAAAGAAACAAGATGTTTCAAGTGGATATGGCAAGAAACAGGGGATCACAGCGGTGTGTATGAAAGGGGTAAGTTGGGAAAATGGATATGTTAACCAAGTAAGCCAAGCAAGAAAATGGACAAATGGGAAGAATAGTTCCAAAGGGATTGGCTCACTGATGTTCAATGCGCAAAACATATGCGAACAACCACATGACAAATGGAGATAGTGGCATTCTAAGATGCTGAATTTTGATATAGTCTCACCATGTCTCACCACCAAACAGAAAAATGAGGCGCACCCCATACAAATTCCCTATCCTCACGGAAGAATCCATACATGTTCCCCATTCATCCCCATTCTCATCATTTCCCTTCTGAAGATGATCTTTCAACAATCAAGCATGGCAATGACACACCTTATTAAGATGACCCTTCAACAATCAAGCATGGCAATGACACATCACTCCAATTAAACCTGCATATTGCTCGGGGATTTTGCAGCTAGCCATATTTGATTACCAAAGTTAGTCATTAAGGACAATTACCCTCTGGTAATTTAACATAGCTATTGAACATGGCCATTTATAGTGAGTTGTCCCATTAAACATGGTGATTTTCCATAGTTATGTTAGTTTACCAGTTTACCAGAAGGTATCAATATTATATAATTATCTGTAAAGAACATTAACTGATAGCACCCATAAGCATTAATTTGGCAAAATCCCGGTGCTCAACTTCACCAGCTAAGAACTCCATGCCCAAAGTAACACCTTGCCGTCCTGGTACTGCAATGAACGCAACGCCCAAGCGTGGGCCCGAAAGCGGTTCTCAACTGATCTACTTGACCTTGGCGAGCCGTCGATGGCCAGGTCCATGTGCGCCGCAATGCGTGAAGGAACTGATGCCACGCATCGTTCGGTGCGCCGGCCGCGCCCCACCCGCTGGGTATGGACGGGCGTCTGCTTGAGACAATCATGCAGTTGTTCTCATGGTTCTCCGTCGCAAAATATTATCAGAAATGGAGCCTCCAAGAGAAGGCAGTTAGGCAGTTGATTTCACCAAGGTTTTGAATTCTCATGCTGTCCAAACGGAGACTTGGGCTCGTCTTGAATCGGTAGTGACCAGATTCTAAAAAATGGTTTGGCTGAAAATAGGGTTACTTCAAAATTCCAAAATGCATTGGGTTGCAATCATTTTCCTATTGAATAACAATTTTGAGGTACACCACATTTCCAGAAACACCTATATATTGTACGTAACAGTGCTTGATGATTACAACCTATCAGCATTGATTTGAGATTTGCTAAATCTTTGGTTTAACATAATTACCCTCTGGTAAACGTTGACATAACTATGGAAAATCACCATTTTATAGCTGGGTAAATCAACCAACTAATTGGCAATTTTCAATAGCTATGTAGAAAATTACCAGAGGGTAAATATCTAACGTTCGACCCATTAGACCCATTTCCCATCAAATCCCCCATCATCCAATCAATCAATCTTTGGGTTAACATAATTAACGAATCACTATGTTTAATGGGTTAATCAACTATTTCTATGGCAATTTTCAATAGCTATGTAGAACATTGCCAGAGAGTAACCATTGGGAAATTGTGATTTCATGGGATTTTGCTGGAAACATGCTGTAGAAAATTACCAACAGGTTAATCATTGTTTTCCCTGCCATAAATGGCATTTTTTCTGCTAAATCTTTGGGTTAACATCATTAACGATTCCCAAAATTTTCCCATAAAACCATTAAAAAAATCCATTTCTAGTGGATATGTCCTATAAAACCATGTAAAACCAGAGGATATCCCACTACTTTCCAGCAGGAAATACTCCACGGCGCCTGCTTCCCGGGCACGTCCAAATAGCTGGAGACCGTCTCCGCCAGCTGCCGTAAGGAACGGCCCACAGGGCTGCCGCCATCCACCAGGGAGGCCTGGTGGGGAAAATGGTGGGAGAGTTGGAACGGCATCCCCAAAATGGTGGGGAAATGGTGGGAAAATTATGAACATGATAGGGAAAAATGATGAAAATGGTGGGAAAATGCTACAACATGCCATCAAATTTGGATGGGTTTTCTGGCAAACCATCCACTATCTCCCTTTCTGCTTTGTGAAATATCTTTGTTGGAGAATCAACCCCATATTTTTTTTGCCAAACATACCAAAAAAATATATTGGGGACCCCGGAGACTCCTCCATATTCTTGGCGTATCATAATTGCAATCCCAGATTCCGTTAGATCAGTCATATGTTTCATGCTCAAACATCCCAGTTCTAGACTTTCTCTTGGTAAACAAAAAACCACCATTTTTTCTGGTTCAGTTCCCCTCCCACCGCGAAGTTCCTCTTGGCGCCTCCACGGTGTAGTCCACGCGCTCTCGGAAGAGGTCCAAGAGGCCACCCGCCTCCATCCCTGGCACCAATGATGATAGACGGCAAGACTATATATACCCTCTGGTAAATCAACATAGACCCTGAAAATAGCCTCGTTTTAATGGACACTAATCTTCCAACCCCTATCTGCCAGGGTCTATGTTAATTTACCAGAGGGTAATGTATATATATATATATGTATGGTAAAACAATCATACATATATAATGGATTTCTTAAAGGATTTGTTGTTAGAAAAATGGTGGATTAGTGAGACATGATGACTTAACTGGTGAAAATGATGATAGTGATTTAGCTGGTGAGGAATGATGACTTAACTACTAACACTGATGAACATGATTTAGCTACTAATGATGATTTAACTAGTGATTTAGCTGGTGAACAATGCTGATTTTGGCTACTAACAATGGTGATGAATATATATCTAGCCCGGAAAACGAAGGATCTTAACTGATAAAGAAAATGATTGGACTAGTGAACACATGTCATTTCACCGACGCAGTGAAGATTCAATATGATGAATTTGCATGTGTTCATGCTAAATTGAATGGAATACATGGTGTTGTGTGTGATTTGTTCAGGCACAACATATATTATCAGTTTTTCATGTTGTGTTGCATAGACTTGCACGGTATTATTTAGGTATCAGTGAAATGATTGAATGATTGACTTGCAAATCATTATTTTTTCCTGTGACACCGACATACAGTCAGCTGCAAGGATGACCCTTCAAACTGTTGTTTTGAGTCAGATACTAACAAGCGAGCTAGTTTAGGCCATGTCATTCATGTCTGCTTGGAGTTTTCAAAACATTGGACAGCTTTAACAGGCATCATGTGCGTCATATATGCATCAGGTATTGAAAACACAGAGCCTCAAATCCTTGAATCCAGTCCGGCAACCAAACCTCGAAATGAAACTTCAAGTCTTTCTGGAACAAGGACCACCCAACGATCTATTTGTGCTTGCAAAGCAACCCTTTTGGCTGCTTAAATTTCCCCAGTTTTACTGATTTGGCTGCTTGAATGATCACCATTGGATAATTCAATCCCTTCAATTTGTTCATTATCCACTCTGAGATGACTACAGTATACACCCTCCAGTAGTTTAGAATAGATCCGGCAAAACAACCTGATATGTGAATAATTGTCCTTGCGGTCTGCCGCCATGGGTCTTCCAAATCATGTTGTTCCTCTGCTGGAGAGAAATATCGTAATACCCCCTGCAACAAATTAAAACCCCGGAAGAGTAGATCATTTTCATTGAGTTTCCCCATTGGTTTTATACGATCCTATGTTAACTGATTGGTTTCGCATATTGAGTTTTTCTTTACATAATTATGTATCTGTGAACTGATTGGTTTTGTCTTAACTGATTGGTCTTCCATATCATTATCAGTTAAATGGTATATCCTTATCCATCAATCTTAACTGACTGATCTTTCATATCCATTTGTTTTCCATGACCGAAAAAAACCATCTCCCCATGGCTTTTTGAACAGCCATCTCTCTGGCCTTGACCCGTTCGGATCTTCTTGACCAAGGTCTCGTAGGCATAGCGCCTGGTGAGAAAATCGGGGACCTTTTTGGCACGGCATCGATGGGGACATCTCCATGAAACTGGTAAGGAATCTCGGAATCTCAAGGTAAGGAATGATGAATGGTAACTAATACTGATGGATTCATATTTATATCCCATGGAAAACTAATATGCACAGTAACGAAAAGTTATAGTTATATCTCAGTAAGGCAAGGTATCATGGAATATAACAGTACAATCTCAAGGGAATGAATCCATAATGTGGGCACCCCAATAATGAGCCTACCATTTCGAGGATGGTCTATACCACCCGTTTGTGGTGATTTTGGGGATGGTGTATGGCATTTCGGTCACCATATTAGTATAGATAGTAACATAGTACATTACATAAAATCTCAAGGTAAGTAATCCATCGTATATAATCTCCAGGGTGGTATGAAATCTGGATGGTTGCATGGTATAGAGGCGCCACTCACTGCGCACTACACAGGCATCAAAGGATCAAAGGCTCAAACACAATGGGCACGGGAAGAACCACCATGTTGATCAATGTTAGTTGAAACCTACAAACTATGACGTTCAAAAGGTGCTCTTGCTATCCCAAAACAGCCTTTTGATTGACCATTTGACCCTGAATTTCTATGGTTCATTCCATGTGGCAAACATTTCTTCAGTAGACATTATGAATGCACGAATCATGCATCAAAATAAGTGCTAACTTCTCCATCTTCCCTGGGTCCAATTTCAAAGAATGGAAAGATGTAGATTCCACGTATGGAGATGTATTACAACAGATTCTAATTTCAAACAAAAAAGTGCTGTTTGAATCCTATATCAAACAACTGCAGTACGTGTTTGTTGTTTACATACGCACTTCACCAGTTTGAATCTTTGAATCCTTCCTTGAATAAGTTCAATTTATAAGTTCAATAACTAGACCTTCTGCTACATGTATCCATGGTGAAGCGGGTGTTATGAACTAACTTTAGATGGTCTTTCGCTGATTTTGGAAACAAACTATGGGAATTTAACCAGCAGCAATGACTTGAGTGAGCCTTGGGTTTATGGAAAACATACAAAAAAAACACGTGTGGAAATAGTTGTCTCGGGGTGAGCATGAATTGTGTGCAGCATGCGAAAACTAGGTACTAATCGCAATTGGTAGAGATACCCTCTGGTAAACTAACGTAACTATGGAAAATCACTGTTATTAATGGGAAAACCCACTATAAATGGCCATTTTCAACAGCAAACTGTTAGTTTACCAGAGGGTATATCTCTACTTCATAGGGGTATCCACTATCCTTTTCCCAACCTTGTGGGTCACGTATCTATGGGAGACAGCGGGGGCCCGCTGTCTGCTGTTGGTCATTTGTGAATTGTTGGTAGGATAAACTCTACAAGTCATTTAGAATTAAGGAACAAATCAAATCAAATAGGATACTATATAGATCTATAGCTTTATACATCATTATAGATCTGTAGAGACCTACAGTGAATTCTCTATAGATATAGGCATAGGAACAACTGTTTTTCAGAAAATCTATTGTATAGATTCATTTAAGATCATTTAAGATTATTACAAGTCTCAAAATATCATCCAGGTCATGAAAACCATGGAACATTGTAGTATTGTACCCCCAAATGCAGTTTTCAAAAATTGGGTACTGCAATGTCAACCCCGGATTAATTAAAACCGTGGTTTCTGAATTAGGGGTGTCTTCCCCCCTTATTTCGTTATGATTTCATATTTTTTTTAATGGTACCTTCCCAATTAAAACAGCCGTAAACGGGGTTTAGAAATCCAAGGTTGACATTAGCCCCCCAATGATGGAAAGCCCAAAAATAGTAATATTAACCCCATCAAAAACATTATATAATTTTCCATTAAATCAACCATTGGTGACTATATGGGGTTTATTCCAGTAAACATGAACATATTCCAAAAACCATTGGAAAATCTTAAAACCATTGGAAAAACAACAATATTCCAGTAGAGTCAACAATCCCCCCACAAACGCCGCACCGCCCAGCCACCGCCCAGCGGCCTTCCCTGGTACTGCACCGCCTGGCGCGACAAGAGCCGCCGCTGCGTCTGCTCGGCGCTGGCCTGGCGGACCTTCAGCCGGGGGATCCGTGGGAAATCGGTGGAAAATCGGTGGCAAATCCATGGAAATCTAAGGGAAATCTAAGGGAAATCTAAGGGAAATGACTGGAACAAATTGAACACCTATGCAAAAAACTATGGAAAATAGATGGAGAATCTATAGAAAACCCTGACAATCTAGGATAATCTATGTTTGAAAGTTGAAAGAAGACAGGGTTCGAACAAAATGGATTAGATGAAATACATGGAACATATATGAACATGTTCAGAATAAGATCCTGGAAATTATGGACTCGTTATGGACATGTACATACGCAGTTACAAAATAATACACACTTAAAACATCCTCAGTCATATCTTTTTAGTGAACCCACTTATGGGTTACATCCTCGGAATTTACCAATAAAATAACATACTTGAGTCTTAAACCACTGATACACGTGCTAAACGGGTAACAACCCAAGTTATACTTGGAATATATGGAATATAATATATTGGAGGATTCACTGATGGGTTATTCGAAAATATAAACGGGGATCTTCAAGGACATCCAGTTATACATGATAAACAAGTCGTTCTCCTTGGTATCTGGACTATCCCAAGTGGAAGGTAGATCCAGGTTCTTCAAAGTGACGATTTTGAGGTGCTAAAGTGAAAGAAAATTGGGGATTCAGTGACCTCAGTGACCTCAGTGACCTCAGTGACTTCGAATTGGTGGTTTTATCAAGGTCACTTTGAAGAACCATGAGCCGAAATGGGGAAGTTCCCCAATCATCCCAACCTAGAATGGGATGCTATATCATGTTGTTTTCCATATACCATCTTCACGTACTTCAACATCGCAACAGAACATACTCAGCTGGTGGTTTTCAAGGTTATAGGATTCCAATATAGAGACTGAAACAGTGAGGTTCAACCCCGTTATCGTAGGAGAAATAGATTTGCCTCCACATTCTGGTGATTCAATAGCAAGCCCGCGGATCAAAGGAGTGCCACTGCTGTCATAGTTTCACCGGAAATTCAATGGTTTTTTGTGGGGTCACGTAGAATTCAAGGTTATCGGTATATAACAGTATAATATGGGATTATTAAACCATATTTTTTAGCCACATACAAGTAGTGTTTTCTGAAACCCACATTGAGGCTGGACAAATCTGAAACAGCACATGTCAGCTTAACCCAACTACGAGTACCAGTCACATCTTTGGAAAACAACAAAACAATCTTTCAACATCATTCAACTAGAATAATCTTAGGTTATTTCGTTCAACTACCATTTGTCTATAGCTTCACCCGGCAAAAAAAGCTCAACATTTAGTAGTCCGGGTCAACCATACTGTTTATACTTATTGTATTTATAAAGCCAAATTGCCCTTGGTTAGTTTAACTTCAGTTGCTTCTTCCCATGCAGCTAAAGCCCTTTTTCAGTTATGTTTATGCTAATGTGGTTATGTTATCATTCCAACAATGGTGGTAAAACTGACTTAGAATTGGTATTTGGGGCCATAGCATGCCATAAAATGCCATCCTGAAAGAAACAACTCTGCCATTCTTTCAGAATCTTTCAGATGCTCAGCCCTTTACCAGTTATCTTTTATGGCAGTAAATCTGGTTAAATGATCTAACTACCCTGAAAAAGGACATTTTATGGCTATAATCATTTCACTATAGCCATATATATATATAGTCATAAATCTATTTGACGTTGATGGCTATGTATGTATATGAATATAAATCTGGTTCAATGATTTTATGTTTCACTACCCCTGAAGATTGGGAGAATTTCCCGCCAAGCTGCCAGGAGCCAGGCACAGACCTTGTCCAGCAAAGACACCTGGATTGAACCCTCCACTTGCCGTTAGCCATGGGGGATTTAGCAAGGCTAAATATATGCTTACTAGGGTTTCATGGGATTTAAAGTTGACAATGGCGATATCTAAGATTGGGATTTAAAGATGACTAAGATAGATATAGATCATGGCAAATGGTTGATACATGCTGATACTTGATTGGATGTCAGTTGAGAATAGCGATATTTGCACTTAATCAGGCAAGGTAAGGGAGTATCTGGTTGAACATGGTTTGTTACACACATATGTCAACCGATCTTGTCAATTGCGCACAAGGCTTCAGCTCAAACCTCCCTGAATCACCACATATCAGCAATGGTAAGCTTTATAAATGTTGATCAACATTGGGGTTTTCCAAATTAAATCCAACTCCCAAATGATGCCCCAATCAACATGAACAAGGGGTTCTTCAAAATTTAAACCTCAGTCCACGGAAATAGGGTACTTGCCAAAATCATCCAACCTGGGGTTCCGTACCAACTCCTGGCTTTCCATGAATGATGATGGTATATATATATATAACTCCAAGAAAATAGAAACAAACCTGGCTACCACTATTTAAGGACACTGGGATTGTACTGTTGTATCTTTTTTAGGATTCATATATTTACATATACCGTATATATTTAAGATGTTGAGACAAGCCTGTTCCCTATCAAAATGATTAATATGGGTTTGTCTGAAAGAGTTGGTTTACCATGGTTTACCATTATTGTTACCATTGAACCGTATTAACACTACCATTTGGCGGTACAGTACACCTCATTTCTTGACAAATGCACATGTCATTGCTGGTTGTATATCTCATCATATCCGCCCAAACCCCCATTATAGATGGTGGGTTTTCCCTCCAAAAACATCATTTGTTGGTCCCATTCAATCCACTTAAATCTCGTTTTCATAAAACATACAATCGATAATAATGGATGTTAAACCAACAAAGTCAATTCACCAACCAAAATGTCGATTTACATCACTGGTTGGTGGTATACCTACCCCTCTGAAAAATATGAGTTCGTCAGTTGGGATGATGACATTCCCATATATTATGGAACAATAATCCAAATGTTCCAAACCACAAACAAGATCATATTACATCCCTGTTTTCCATGGCCTTTCCATACTTTTCCCGTGGTTCAACCACCATTTTTTGCCATGGCCGCTGCCCACCCGCCTGCGGCGGCGGCGCCATGGCCTGCGCGTCCGTGTCGGCGGCGATGAGGACCTCCTCGTCGATGCGGGCGGCGACCTCTGGGGTCAGCAGCACCTGGCTGCTGATGGAGGTGATGATCCTCACAATGCTACGATAGTGGGGATTTAACCAGCACTTTTGCGAGAGTTTTGTGGGGATTTCATTGCTGTGATTATTCATGAGATTTATGTAAATTTATTCAATAGGGCAAATCGGAGTCTATAACTTTAGAATGTGGGGCACCCAACAGGTAGCTAAGACTAGGGTTATTGCGGACTATAGTTGGATGGGGAAACTAAACAACTTGCAAGTGGAGTGGCCACCACATTGCTGGTAGTTGTTTGTCTATTATTTGGCTGGCAAATGGATATCTTTATGCTGAAGGGGAGGGATGGGGAAATCAGCTACATGTCTGAGTTATTATCCGTTGCCATTTTTGTCTACAAGAGGGCTCATTTTGCGTATTTGGTGTCTGTGACAAAAACATATTCACATTTCACAATCTCAGGAAACAAATGCGGCTATAATATATACAGTAGTCTATACTTCGTTGGTTCAACTTGACCAAGAGGCGTCATACTTTGAGGATCTTTGAGGGTTATGGACCAATGGCCCAACCAAATTCAAACAGGGGTCCGACAATTGTCACCTACAAACCAGCGACATCCTGTAGGATCCACGCAGTATCAAAGCCCAGACTGTACAGAAGGAATGCGCCATAATGAAACAAATTTAAGATGTTGTGTGCGCATCATTCTGAATATATAATATATAGTTATATATTATACATATATCTTGTTTAATTATGTTGATATTCAATTTCAAGATCCATGAGAGTTCCAATACGATCCGAAGGGGACGGGGCTGTTTCAGAATGTTGGCGAAAAACCTGCAGCCCCTGTCAAACCACAAACCCAAATAACATGTCTTGGCCCGAATAAAACTGAATTTATCAATTCGTTCCCCAAGCTCATAGCTGCAAAGCCATCCACTTCCACATCAACCCTTCTGCATCCACCATCCCAGCACCTGCAGTCGCTGACCCTTTCGGATACCGCGCAAGCGATAGGCACCCTGTGCGAAGTCTCGGAAGGTGGAGTCCTTCGAGGTGCGAACAGGTCTTATATGACAATGAAAGGCGTGAAAATTGCTGGGTAACATTTGATGATTTGGTCTGGTTCATGAAATGAATGGCCTAGTTGCAAAGGTAAGAGCTGCAGCCACCACCACGGTATCAACTTGAGGGTGGGTGAATGAACAGTGAATCCGTGTCAGGGATCAGTGGAGAGCAGCATGCCACGTGTTCTCTTTTGCGGAGCTAAGGCTGAACACTGGCCAGTGGCAAATCGTCTTTGGTGTTGAGATGGCAGCAGAAAAATGCTGTCAATCATCCCACAAAATGCTTGCAACTTTGGGGCAATTGTTTGCCTCGAGTTGTTCCTCAATCTGCTTTAATGCACGTAGCGGGTCAAACTCTCCTGCAGAAGCTCTAACAATCACACTGGTCTGTCTCGCTCCATATGTCCCATCATGCCTAAAAACATCAAGGCCCCGAGGACTGTAAACAGCGACAAGCAACTCATCAAAATAGTCTCGATTAACATTCCAAAACTCACAAAACCATCGTTGACTCTCCTGGCAAAAATTCAATTGACCGCTCTTGGCCTCGACACGCGTCTTGTCCCGGATCCAATCTACTGACCTGGTGGGCCTTGAGAAATCGCTCTCAGGATGAAGCAGCTGGTCAATTTCCTGTACTAGCCTTTCAACACGATGACCTCTCAGTGACGGGCTCATGGCACTGAATGGCTTACGATGATAAAAACGACTTATATAGCTCACATGTTGCTCACACTCATCTGCAATCCAACTGTCTGAAATGTCAGTCTTCCCGATGAATTCACACCTACCATCTTCGCACAATTTGTCCAAAATCACATCTAAAGATTCCTCCCAAGTACCATCTTTGCCGCTAACAGTCACATGGCTCCCGGACTTCGACATTCCAGTTTGCAAATCATGCTTCAGAAGGTGAATCCATTTGGGGCTGAAAATGACTAAATACAAGTCGTCAAAAAGACACGCGCTTGGGATTGAAGGCTGAAATCCTATCCCACAGTAGTAGACCCACCAGCGGCCCTTCTTATGGAGGAGCTGCGAACTTTTGATTTCCACCCTTCGACCATCACATAGAAAATCATATTCTGCCCTGTTCCGACCTCTCAGCTTGCCATTGGCACAAGTCCCTGGCACGGCATCTTCCACAACACAACTGGGATTTGATCCTTGCAGCATTCGCCGGGCCCAATTCTCAATCACAGCGCCTCGGCGAGGACTGTCTAACTGCGCCAAGGGATGCCAGTTGTATGGGTGAGCTGTAGGACCCTCATCTTCCCAGTGACGTTGAAACTGGGCAGCGTTCAAAGTCACATCCCCGCGGCAACTATAGCTCCTCCATGCTTTTCTCAAAAATATTGACGCTGAAATCCGTTGTCCACCTCGAACAACATGTGAGTAGACCATGCAGATTGTCTCAGCAAGATCCCTTTGGTCTGCGCGATTCACTACCGATCAGGTCAGTGATTCCGTGGACGCTTGCACGCATTGGAGCAATTTGCCTTGAGCCTCATCACTCGGCCGCTCCAAGCTGAGTTTCATCAAATTAAGTGAATATAGTGTCTCAAACCTTCAGGAATGTTTTGCTCAAAGGGATGTCCGTGGATGTCCTGAATGATTGGAACACATTGAGCTACATGTTCTTTTTCATAGCATTTCATAGCCATAGGTCTAGGTGAGAACCGTTGGAAACACTACAGCATCTATGCTCTCGGGTGAAAAAACTCTCAGAAAGCGCGGCGATGTTCCCGGTTCTGTATTTCAAACGGTATGTGCTTATTGTGTCTGAGCCAGCAATCTTTCATGGTTTCATATGTCCCTTCTGCTCTTGGTCCCACCCTTCTGTGTTCAACTTGTTCTGGAAGGAGAGTTCTTGTTGCAAACGTTGCTTGGTCTTGCCGGTGGTCTCTAGGTCTTCTGATGATATGGCCTAACAGTTTCCTTCCTTTCTCTTAAAACGTCACCTAATGGACGGATGATTCCATCTGCGCCTTTGCCCATTTTCAAAAGGTGCACGTCTATACTTTTTGGTTGGTGTTTGCTCAATATACGCTGTCGACATTTTCAGAAAAAAAACATGAGACCTTTCAATTGAAACGTGTCCAGTTTAGCTGCCGTGGCCTCTGTGGCCTGCAGTGCTTCCAAGCTGTACAGGAGTTTTGAAACACATACCGCATTGAACACTTGAATTTTCCATTGGTTTGGCACTTGGGTTTGTTTCCAGAACAGGTCCAGCTTCTTTAGTATAGGCATTGTTCGTGAAATACGCCGGTTTATTTCAGTAGCATTGAGCTACATGTCAGAACCTTCCACTGCAATGCTGTGACCTCAAAATCTCAGGCCTGAGTTGTCTTCAGAACCCCACTGGGTTTTTCATCGATCACATCAAATCCATGTCTCTATTCCGCCCTTCCAACCCACTCCTTTCCCAGGGTCAGCGCAGCACAGGCGTGCGGCGGATGTCGGATGTCAATGCCAGTCGTATGGACTTGATCGTAAAAGACCTGATTGTTTGCAGTGAGGCTGACTGTGGAAGTGGAAGTAATGTTACAACATGTTATCACATTCAATGATAAATATGACCCATGAAAAACGGAGATGATTGATCTTGAGAACTTGGTTCCAACCAGCGGTTGCCCTGGGGTCTTAGTCGATACATCACTCTGCTCGCGAGAGAGCTTTAAACTATCTTCCTGGAGTAGCGTTGGATAGGGTGTATGCCTGTGAGGACATCCCTGACAACAATCCATGGGTTTGCCATCCATGAAATACAAAAGATGTAATCATGACGAATGTAGTATAACATGAATAGCCAGGATTCAGAAAGAAACAGCAAGCATCTGCAAGTCTCTCATTCTCACAAATTGTCACGGTCAAAACACTTTCACTATTCCTATTTGTTAAGTTGCCATCTCGCTTTAAAAAAGTGCTGATCATAGCATGGAATATATTGGTTTGTCTCAGAATTGGGTAACTCGAATCAACAATTTCTAATCATATCATATCCCCTATTCACATGCTGCAAATTAATGGGCAATTCGCCCATTTTCAGAGGCTGTGACGCTGAACCCTTCACACTAACCCCCTAGTCTCTGCGACCCAAGTGACGAATCGTCGGTCCAGTGGTAAGGTGCAGTTTGACATCTTCACCTCGAGTCCGTGGCAGGGAGATGCTTGGGGATCCCCTGGGTGTAACATTATGTGGACCCCAACATGGCAAGTTTAATACGGAAATTTTAAGTATAGAAACTGAATTTTCAACCAAAGCAATGCGCATTGTCCTAGATGCAGAAACATAGCAAAAACATCCAATTTCAAAACATGAAAATAATTGTCTGGGATCGTTGGGTGTCACTTGACCTTGTAAGCTCTGCGACTTGGAGAGCCCCCTCACATCCTGAGCAAAACCAGGTTGGGAAAGATGACCCCAGAAGAGTTATAACAATTGTCCAAGCATGCTTCTTGATGTGAGCAACCTGTGGGAGAAACCCAGTCTTCAGTTGTATAGTACCTAACAAACATGTATGCAGCTAAAGCGAGGCAAGACCAACTTTTGCTTGAGAAACCACTAGCTCGAATATTGTTTCTTCTTCCTAAATTTCTCATCTGATATCTTTACCAAACATGTCCAATTGCAGCTATGTTCACTATTATACACATGGTTGGTTTTCCATCCAAACTTTTAATTCGTCAAAGTAGGTGTGTTTTCACATACACAGTTCAATGACTGGCTCATGATCGCAATTAACCGTTGCTTTACCCACATGCACTGCGTATATATATATATATGTATAATGTATTCATCCCCAGCTATCACCAACATGCCTCTCACAACTGGGACCCCTGGCCGAAACTGAAGCACCACGTCGAAGGAGTTGCTGTCCACCACCACTGTCGCAGAACACCACTGCCTGTGCTCGTTTGGAAATGCCAAATGGAACCAAAAAGGGCTACCCCTAGAGATACCACACCACATGCAACAAATATTGCTATCATGACTATATAGCCGATCGACATGAGCAACCTTATCTCAACAAGAATGCTGAGAGCAGCAACAAACATATATGCAACATAAAAGATGTCCTTTTGTCTCTACATTTTGTGTATACAATCACTGCAAGTATATAGAGGTACGTCAAGCAAGGACAAAACACAGTGCAAACAGTCGGACACTTAAACATGTTTTGATCATTTGGACTAACAAAATTAAATGTGAGATTCATTTCTTGGGCCACCTTTTGCACACGTTTTACCTAAAGAGGGAAAGCAGCAACATATCACGAGGCCATCACCGCCAATACAATTGAACATAACTCTACACCAAAGGGATATGTACGATGTGTCAAACTGAAAACAACAGAGCCACCAAGCAAACAGATCATAATTAGTTTTATTTGGTCTCTCCTGTCCCAACTCAAGTCCAAGTGTATTTCATTTTGTCTTTGGTATTCATCACCTTCCTGTCTCTTTCAACCAGGATCCCTAAACCCTGCTGGTACCTCGAAAGGCAATCCATAGTCCAGCAAAGTCCGTGCGACCTGTAAAGGGGGTGATGTGGATCAATGCTAACAGGTGCAAACATGCTGCATCAAAAATGTGGTCAAAAAATATCTAACACCTTTGTTGACAAATTGCTAGTTTAAACGTTACAAAACGCCACTGCGCAGATTAGCGTTCAATAATGTATAATATGTAGTCATGATATGACTGCATGTGCGAAGAAATATGACACTGCTCGCAATAAACAAAATCAGTAGTGATTGCATGCTCTGTTTCCCCTGTAAAGAACATTCATATAGCCGTACCGATTACCCTAGCATCAACGCACTTTCCCCCTTGTTCTTCAAGCTTGAGGATACTCTACGGCAATTTAACATAGCTATGGCTATGGAGCATTGCCCATTTATAGATGACTGAACCATTAAAATGCTAGATGTTCCGTAGCTATGTTTAATTCACAGATGGCAGCAGGTTTGGACAAACACCCTTGATCGGACCTGCTCGTTGCTCAACCCAGTAATCAGAGCTCCCACATCCTCGGGTCCAGGAGGGTCAGGACTCCCAACTGGGTCAGGAAGTGTACATAGAAAACCGCGAGTTTTTATCACTGCTCAGATCATCATATAAGTCATATTACCCCAATAATGACCCAATAAAGTGCCACAATTGCTTGGGGAAGTGCGAGGATGACAAATGAGAAGCATCAACAAGAACAAGATAGAACAAATATGAACAAGAGTGACAAAGAAACATACACATTCCATGGTTTCCATCATATGTCATTACATTCCTATTTTATACTTTTCCACTATAGCTGTACCTCATAATTCTGCGCAGCGACACTGCGCGCCAAGCGTCAATCAAGGCATTCAACGGTGGAGTTTGTTTGGCCACCATCTCCAGCAATTTGTGCGCCTCAGCCGTGCAACAGGACTTATATAAACATGGCCGTGGAAAATCACAACCTTTCATGGGAAAACTATATACTATAGATAGGCATCTAAATGCGGCGGCATGAGGATTGTTCATTGTAAATTGTAAATCATCAAACGAATAAAATGATGGAAATGGGACATCCACATGTTTTGTGAGGGAGGATCCTCTAAAAGTGGATGTAGATGGGGGAATTCTCGATTTATCGATTTCCACCAAAACAGAGGCTCCGGATATTAAGTTTTTTGGGCAAGCTGCATGTCCAAATTGCTCCGCACTGGTTTGGAAGTGTCTTGAAGACTGCTGTATCAAGTATTAAAGTTAAAAATTACTACCAATTACCCACAGACTTGAAGCCTATCCAACTCTACTGATAAAAAAAAAAATACCCGCTAGTTTCAGCATGCTACCCACCAACATGGAATACAAAAGAAAAAATTCAACATTCAATGTCATCTCCTATACTAATCTCATGTGCTTCCAATAATTTCCCTTTTTAATATTCATTAATTTTGGAGTTATCTCACTGAAACTGCATAAATCCCATTTGTTGAATACCCATCCCATTTAGGTTCGAATCCAAATTGAGTCACCAAATGACCTACAATTTGTGTTTATGTTTTTTACTAGATCATGCATTCTGAAGGGCCAATCTGTTTGAGCCAAAACCCATTTCTGGCTTTAGATATCCGGATATCCTAAAAAGTATATCCATAATATATATATATTATATCTCCTGCTATGTTGTAAGCCCAAGCATCCAACTACACGGATATTTATATATAATGTATCCATTATATCCCACTGTATCACCATTATATAGAGCTTTACTAAAATGGGGTGAAAACCACCATGGTGACCCCCACAACTTAAGAACCCCAGATGAATATTCCGTGACTAATAGAATATTGCCATTGATAATCCATTAATATACCACTCATATGCCATTCATGGATAATCATCCATGAATATTACCATGAAATGTTATGTCAAATATTACCATTCATGGAGTCTGTTAATCATATCTCACATATTTAATATTACAATAACATATATATATAATAAGAACCATGTAATGATATTTATTGCCGGTTCCAAATCAACAATATGACACAACCGTTGCCCCCTTTGGGTTTTCGACCCGACTGCGGCGAAAACGCTTCGCCGCGGCGCGTTCCATCCATCCTCCACCGAGGACACGGAGACCACCTGCGGATCGCTCAGCGTGGTCAGCATCTTGGCGTCGTCGCCTACGGCGATGGACCGCGACGTCAAGGGAGGTTCCATCAACTTATGGGGGACATCAACCAACAACAATATGAAGAACTCATGAATTCAATGTCAACAGAAAATGTGACGTATGATAGGTAAGTTAGCTTGTAACTCGGCCACTAGGTTTTTTGTGACAGCGCTTTGTGATACATGTATCTATGGTTCGATGAGCAAACACAACTGTAGGTACCGACCCCGCCGGTAGCATCCACCAAATTGTGGCCCAACAAAAGGGGTGATTGTCAGATTGATTCAAGGCTTAGTCAAGCCTAGTTGAACCCTCTGAAATCCCAAACAATGGAAATTTAACAGAAATATGCACAATTGGCCTCACCAAAACACTGGAAAACGAGGGTTTGAAACCCGCAACTATCACAACTATCCCTTGAATAGCTCAATATCAAACTGCTGGTACATGGAGATGATCTCTTGGTACTGGCAGACAAGAAAGGGCAGGAATTCATGCAGAAGGTACTCAGCAAAAGATACGAACTTGTTGCCTGTATATCTCCATCAAAGTTCAAATGACTAGCTAGAATTCCCGTGAATGAAATATCATGTGATGTGGTAACCAAAACAACGAACCCACTATCCAACGATGCGTGGTACTCTAATATCTGGCAATGGTTTATTGTTGGGTTTCTACCACATTCCTTAATTTAATCAGATACTCAGACCCTCCGAGTACCAACAATTTCATGGCTAAAAAGTCCAAAGTCATATCCTGGGTATATGAAATATAAATATATCTGAAATATGTTCCATCATTATTTTCTATCGTTTTCCATCATGCTTTCTATCATTTTCCATCATGTTCCATCATTTTCTGTAATTTTCCATGATTTTCCCTGGGTACTTGGAAGGTTTCGCTACAGACTTCCCATCGTTTACACCTTCGATGACCTGCAGCTCGGTCGCGCCTTGCGCGTAGCGACACTTCCCCAGGGACCGCGGCAGGAGATCGTTGGGGGTGCCACTGAAGCCCAGGCGAAAGGAGCACAGCACCTGGTGCGAAGATCATGATGAAATATGGTTGATAAAAGGTGGATAAAATGATAACATACTGGGATAGTAATAGTAATAATGGGATAATAATACTAGTAATAATGGGATAATCATAGTAATAACATACTGGCATAATAATAGTAATAACATAACTGGGATAGTAATAGTAATAATCGGATAATAATAATAGTAATAATGGGATAATCATAGTAATAACATACTGGCATAATAATAGTAATAACATAACTGGGATAGTAATAGTAATAATGGGAAAATAATAATAGTAATAATGGGATAATCATAGTAATAACATACTGGCATAATAATAGTAATAACATAACTGGGATAGTAATAGTAATAATGGGATAATAATAATAATAGTAATAATGGGATAATCCTGGTAATAACATACTGGCATAATAATAGTAATAACATAACTGGGATAGTAATAGTAATAATGGGATAATAATAATAGTAATAATGGGATAATCATAGTAATAACATACTGGCATAATAATAGTAACAACATAACTGGGATAGTAATAGTAATAATCGGATAATAATAATAGTAATAATGGGATAATCATAGTAATAACATACTGGCATAATAATAGTAATAACATAACTGGAATAGTAATAGTAATAATGGGATAATAATAAAAGTAATAATGGGATAATCATAGTAATAACATACTGGCATAATAATAGTAATAACATAACTGGGATAGTAATAGTAATAATGGGAAAATAATAATAGTAATAATGGGATAATCATACTAATAACATACTGGCATAATAATAGTAATAACATAACTGGGATAGTAATAGTAATAATGGGATAATAATAATAGTAATAATGGGATAATCATAGTAATAACATACTGGCATAATAATAGTAATAACATAACTGGGATAGTAATAGTAATAATGGGATAATAATAATAATAGTAATAATGGGATACTCATAGTAATACATACTAGAATAGTATACAAACGGGATAGTAATAGTAATAATGGGATGATAATAATAGAATAATGGGATAATCCTGGTATAGCATACTGGCATGAATAATAGTATAACATACTGGGATAGTAATAGTAATAATGGGATAATAATAATAGTAATAATGGGATAATCATAGTAATAACATACTGGCATAATAATAGTAATAACATAACTGGGATAGTAATAGTAATAAATAATATAATATAATAATGGGATAATCATAGTAATAACATACTGGCATAATAATAGTAATAACATAACTGGGATAGTAATAGTAATAATGGATAATATTAATAGTAATAATGGGATAATCATAGTAATAACATACTGGCATAATAATAGTAATAATAACTGGGTAAAATGGGATAATAATAGTAATAATGGGATAATCATAGTAATAACATACTGGCATAATAATAGTAATAACATAACTGGGATAGTAATAGTAATAATGGGAAATAATAATAGTAATAATGGGATAATCATGGGTAAATAACATACTGGCATAATAATAGTAATAACATAACTGGGATAGTAATAGTAATAATGGGATAATAATAATAGTAATAATGGGATAATCATAGTAATAACATACTGGCATAATAATAGTAATAACATAACTGGGATAGTAATAGTAATAATGGGAATAATAATAATAGTAATAATGGGATAATCATACTAATAACATACTGGCATAATAATAGTAATAACATAACTGGGATAGTAATAGTAATAATGGGATAATAATAATAGTAATAATGGGATAATCATGGTAATAACATACTGGCATAATAATAGTAATAACATAACTGGGATAGTAATAGTAATAATGGGATAATAATAATAGTAATAATGGGATAATCCTAGTAATAACATACTGGCATAATAATAGTAATAACATAACTGGGATAGTAATAGTAATAATGGGATAATAATAGTAATAATGGGATAATCATAGTAATAACATACTGGCATAATAATAGTAATAACATAACTGGGATAGTAATAGTAATAATGGGAAAATAATAATAGTAATAATGGGATTAAAAAAATAACGATTGTGATAAGAATAAATCCCACCATTTGATGGTTAATATCTGGTTAATGTACTGTTAATCATGGTTAATATATGGTTATTATATGGTTTATGATGGTCAATAAGGAATCTGGTTGGTGGTAAAACAATCCCTCTGAAAAATATTAGTCAGTTGGGATGATTGTTCCAAATATATGGAAAAATAAAAATGTTCAAAACCACCAACCAGATAACATACTGGGATAATCATATTTAATAATGGGACAATAATGAGTGTGATAAGAATAATGTGGATCATAAATAATATTATCAATCCCAGTTGATTTCAATAATGTCCCAGTTTTTTGTTATTATTAATATATTGGCATGATAATGATAGTAAGAATAATAGTAATTATTCAATCAATATTCAATCACAACAAAAAATAAAATTAAATCATCCACATTCTGATCCCAGTTAAAAATAAGTATCATTTTCCAATGATATAACCCACATCATCCTCGGATAATCAGAATATATTCAAATGGAGTGGGATGATGATTAAAACATACTGGGATAATATGGGACAATAACAATAGTTATTAACACCAATAATTGCAAATAATGATAATAAACGAATCCACATAAACATCAACAAAATATGGGATAATCATCATAGAAGGTAGAAATCAAAAACACACACACACTCACACACACACACTTGGAAAACTCCCGAAGGGAGAGGGTGAAATGATACATGTCATGTCATGTTGTTACGTTAGCATGTCGTGTCCTTTCATGGCATGTCGGCATGGGTGGTTTTTGGCTTGGCCACCTTGCCATTTCTGACGATGAGAGTTTTGCAGGTACATTTTCACGACGACATAGATGGGTCTTCGTTGGCCCGTGCCATCTATGCGTCCACGGGTCCCCTGCTTTTACCCTTTGATTCAGGGTTTCCCACACACAGCAAGCCGCTAGGGCACGATTTGTCGAACCAGAAAATGGTCCGTAATCTAGTGTGTTGTTTCCACGGTGTTGTGTTGTGACATGGAACGTGTTGCTCAAATGTCTGTGACGCATTGCTTGCTCCAACAAAAACCCAAGGAAGTTTCACGGCGTTCAGTTCAATTTCCACACAAGAAGGCTGACAAAAGCAAATCACTGCATCCGAATTTCCGGCGGTTCAGCAAGCAACCAACGACCGACAAAAAAAAAGAAGGCTGGTGACGGTATGGTGCTGTTTCTCTCAGTGCTGGGTTGTGACATGGAACGTGGTGCTCAAATCTCTGTGTACATGGGCCGTGGCTGTCATGAATGAGGTGTGGCATTTTTCTAGCTCCAACAAAAACCCAAGGAAGTTTCACGGCGTTCAGTTCAATTTCCACTGAAGAAGGCTGACAAAAGCAAACCACTGCAGCCGAATTTCCGGCAGTTCAGCAAGCAACCAACGACCGACAAAAAAAAAAGAAGGCTGGTAACGGTATGGTGCTGTTTCTCTCAGTGCTGGGTTGTGACATGGAACGTGGTGCTCAAATCTCTGTGTACATGGGCCGTGGCTGTCATGAATGAGGTGTGGCATTTTTCTAGCTCCAACAAAAACCCAAGGAAGTTTCACGGCATTCAGTTCAATGTCCACTGAAGAAGGCTGACAAAAGCAAACCACTGCAGCCGAATTTCCGGCTGTTCAGCAAACAACCAGCGACCGACAAAAAAAAAGAAGGCTGGTAACGGTATGGTGCTGTTTCTCTCAGTGCTGGGTTGTGACATGGAACGTGGTGCTCAAATCTCTGTGTACATGGGCCGTGGCTGTCATGAATGAGGTGTGGCATTTTTCTAGCTCCAACAAAAACCCAAGGAAGTTTCACGGCGTTCAGTGCAATTTCCACTGAAGAAGGCTGACAAAAGCAAACCACTGCAGCCGAATTTCCGGCAGTTCAGCAAGCAACCAACGACCGACAAAAAAAAAGAAGGCTGGTAACGGCATGGCGCTGCTTCTCTCAGTTCTAGGTTTTTACATGAATGCTAAGTGAACATGAATCATGAATCATGGGATGACACGGGGTTATTCTGAGGGATGAAAGTTTCACTCTGGATTTATTCTGGCGTGGCCTCTGGATTTATTCTGAAAACATTCAACCCCTGATGGAGACTGCTGGATGCTTGTGCGGAATCTGGATGCCTGTGCGGATTTGGCTTCTGGCAACGTCATGGCTGGATTTATTCTTGTAATCTGGTATCCCCGGCGGATGCACCACCAAGCTTCCCCGGCACTTTATCAGAGATCCGGGTGCATGAAAGACACACTTGGAAAACTCCCGATGGGAGAGGGTGAAATGAGATGAAATGATACATGTCATGTCATGTTGTTACGTTAGCATGTCGTGTCCTGTTATGGCATGTCGGCATGGGTGGTTTTTGGCTTGGCCACCTTGCCATTTCTGACGATGAGAGTTTTGCAGGTACGTTTTCACGACGACATAGATGGGTCTTCGTTGGCCCGTGCCATCTATGCGTCCACGGGTCCCCTGCTTTTACCCTTTGATTCAGGGTTTCCCACACACACACTAAAAAAAAACATCATGGTAATAATTACTTCACTTCGAATGATCCCCACCATGACATTTATACATTATGTTACTGGCAAACCTTCTGGCATTCTATCTGACATACCTTCTGGCATTTTATCTGGCATATCTTATGGCATTCTATCTGGCATATCTTCTGGCATTCTAGCTGGCATATCTTCTGCAATCTGTTCTGGCATATCTTCTGGCACTCTATCTGGCATATCTTCTGGCATATCTTCTGACATTCTATCTGGCATTCTATCTGGCAAATCTTCTGGCATTCTATCTGGCAAACATTCTGGCACTTTATCTGGCATACCTACTGGCATTCTATCTGACATTCTATCTGGCATACCTTCTGGCATTCTATCTGGCATTCTTCTGGCATTCTATCTGGCATATCTTCTG